AATACACAAAGGAAGACGATGCTTTCCAAAAGTTTAGTGTAAGATTAAACTAATAACCTTTAAAGTTACTTATCCCATTTTCATCCTCACTCTTTAATTTAATTTTTTAACTTACAGCATATGATATGATATTATTAATAAAGCAGACATGTCACATTTACATACGCTCGAGTACTATGTATATTTTGTCAATTTGAACATACCTCTGAGGAAAAAACACCAATTTTGTCACGATGAAGTTTCAATCTTCTCATCTGGCATTTTTTAATTCAAAATGGAAAACAAAAAACAAAAACACATAATACTATGTGTTTTTGCCCATTCAAATACGATTCAATGTTCAATCTATCTCAAAATTCGATGGTTCGATTTCTACGTTGCAAATGTTAAATTTAGATAAATAACGTACAAAATATTTTGAGTCGTCTACGCGAACATCTGACTAAATGAAAAATTCCTTGCAAGGCCTAGCCACAAAAGTCTGTTATGCATTATCATCCAACTCATATGAAGACTATTCCAGAACTTCCATCTTAAACAATTGTCTGCGTATGTTTAAGACGATAGTAGGATATAATATTAGTTGAGAACTGCCATTTTCTTTGGGTGTTAGGTGTTAGCATACGTGCATGATGATGGTTAGGTACGATGTTAGTTTAGAACTTCTCAATGGTGCTGCTTTGAGAAACTGCAAAAAAAAGTGGACAATGGTACCCCTTTAAAAATGACGAAAATATGACCCGAAGAAAAAACATATGCGACGTCTATTTTTTCATAAAAGATTGGTCAAATTCATTAATATTTAATATTCTCTGAAGTTGATAAATGTCGGTAGTAACTAAATTATTTTCACCACATGCTTTTCACTACCGTCTTTGAGTTTTAAGATAAATTTTGGGTGTTGGGGAATTATATTTATGGCTAGAGGTTTTGATTCGGCAAGAACGTAGGCCTAGTAAAATCTTGGAGAAGAAGCTCTTATGAACTTGCAATGGTGCCCTTATGAGAATCCATGAAGAAAGGTGGGCAATGGTACTTTTTAAAAAAAAATGACGAAAACAATGCGTTGGAATATTGGCCACTTTGCGGATGATATATAACATACGAGAACGATGCGTTGGAATTTGGATCTGGGTACCACCAAAAAATTTATCCAAATTGTTGTTAAATAAAACAATAGACTAGTTATTTAGCGCTCTTTCTTTTTCGCAAATCATATCAGTCTAGGTACCTTGCAACGTGGTTTGCAATAGCTGAAACTTTTGGGCAAAGTTTGGGTTTTTAATTTGAGTCCAACTGGTCGAGAACTCCGAAAGCTTTTGCAGGCTCTGCTTGACCTTCTCTATAATAATAGCTACCTTGCCAAGTCCACAATGTCCGATCCAAATCTTTTTGTGCAAGATGAGTCGTAAAACAACTCATGAATTGGTTTTCTGCGTCATTAACCTCCCTTTGATCATACCCATACTTGCTGACAAACAAGGAATATGAGTTTGATCCTTCCATTACAAATCCAGCATGGTCTACGAAGCCATTGATAATATTTGTGTAAATATTGTTTAGTGGTTGATGTACAAATTTACTCTCGGAATCTCCACTGAAGGAATACAAGTACACTTAAAAAACCAACTTGTGCTTACGTTCAAGGGCTTCTCTTTTAAGCATCGAAGATCATTATCATAATTTAGGCCAGAAACAATCACTAAAACCTTTGAATTGATGTTGTGGATTGTTGTTACTCCTAAAGTTACGTAATTGTTCCAATCGATTGCGTTTTTCCATTGTTCCTAGTATCTCACTTGGCAAACTAATTGCAACCACCTAAATACCATAAAAAAATATACATGTTATTCTTTTGTTAAATGCAATTTGTGTTCGTTCCATGTTGGGTGCGATCATACCTGCACTAATGCACCGTATCCTATCAGAACTCCGCAGTCAAGCGTGTTTGGACGAGAGTAGTACTAATATGGGTGATCACTTATTTTCTTCATTTCTTTACAAATGGCAACCGCCCCCGCTCATAAGCTCACAACCATTACATTTTCTCTTCCCGACGTGTCTGTGGGGCCCGTCAACCGTTCTGAGCACGTGCGTGCATGCACCGTCGAGTTCAAATGCATTTTTGGACTTTCTCAAAGCAGCACCACTGACAAATTCTAAACTAACATCGTACCTAACCATCATCATGCACATATGACGACTCCCAAAAATAGAGTCGTTACACATAACCTAATATTTTAGGCTGTTGTTATTGAAACTTTTATTTTATTTAATCGAACAAAATGTATTCTTTAGTTTGCTCTCAAAAGGGTATCATATTAAGTTATATGTGTTAGATGAACACGACTCTCCACAATGATATGAAATTGTCCACTTTGAGCATAAGCTCTAGTGGTTTTGCTTTGGGCTTCCCCAAAAGGCCTCAAACCAATGGAGTTAGTATTCCTCACTTATAAACCTATGATCATTCTCTAAACTAGACGATGGCAGGACTTCTATCATCCAACAATATGAACTTGCATCGTACATGTTTACAAAATTTAGTCGTGGTAGAAGAAACCCTAATTCTTGTAGTTATAATCCATAATGAATGAGAATGGGAATAGAGATGGAAAATTTGAGTATGAAGTGGACATTGAATGAATTAAATGCAACACTGACTGAGCTTCCAAGAAGCAAGTAAAAGTAGGGTATGATTACAAAAAGAAGATCTAAGTTGTGTTAAAAAAGAGAAAGGGGGAATGAATGAATGAATTGGTCTCCCTTTTGTCATCACCAAAATTGGGATTTCATTGTGTTTTCGAGGCCAAAAAGGGTGTTACAATTTTGAATACTTGGCGAGCAAAAAGAGGTACAAAATAGATAGCAATGCAACATCGGCATCGGCATTGGCATTGGCATTGGCATTGGGTTGTTGCGCTTTGTCATCACCAAAAATGGGTGTTTTTCCTGCAAACACTGGCAGCAGCCCAGTGCCCCAAATGGAAACAAATGGGCATTTTGAGTAACGGTTTAGCAATTTACAAGGATCAGAACTTCCACCAAACTTATCATCATCTTCATCATTATCAATTTAGCAGTAGCTGATGCGCTGCTCTGCTCTGCTTCAGACACACTGTCAGCCCCTTTTCTCTATCCTTCTCAAATGGCGTGCCACTACTCCCCCAACGCGCCTGCTGGCTGCTTTTAATTGCTTCCCTCAATACTCCCCCCTTCATACCTCCAACCTCCCTCTACGCCGACCTTCTCCATTTCATTTACATTAAATGCTTCCCTCAATTATATATATAAATATTTATTCCCTCCCAATTATTACAATGGAGAGAGTATTTTTTTATTATAAACTCATGATCGAGCTTAGGTTCGACTCTTTTTTCTTTTGGAGTGGCTCTGATATCATGTTAAATAAACACGACTCTCTACAACAATAGTATGATATTGTTCACTTTGAACATAAGCTTTTGGGCCTCATGACAATGAAGAGAGTGTTCGTTCATTATAAACTAATGACGTGGGACTTTCATCCCCCAACAGTCACGTCATTTAATTTCGTCAATATATTAATTACTATATAGTTATATTACGACGCGGCGCGTAATTTGATAAATCGAATTAAATTGCATTCCCATAATACCCTTTTAAAATGAGTTGTGGAAATCTGACATTTAACATGTGAATGTGGGGTTCCCCATTTGGGATTTTTCTCCTCATTAGAGATCCAAACTTTGTACGCAAAACCCCCCAAAGCAATAATACCAATTTTTCTTCAACCATTTTTATGTCATTTTTTTAATTAAAAAATGATTTTAAAATATCCAAAATTGTGAAATATGATATTTATAAAATTATTTTAAAAAAAAATTAAATGTCATATTTTAAAATAATGAAAATTTGGGTAAGGTTTAGGCCCACACATGATGGGAGATTGCGTTAGAGAATCATAAATGCATTAATAAATGGAGTTAAGGACATTTCCTTTCTTTATAATTTATCATGGATCTTCAACTTCCCTTCCCTTCTAATTTTTTTAAGTCTTTTAATTATTATTTGTTAGTTTATTGATACCATTTTTACGTGTTTTATGTTAGGTTTGAACGTTAGTATTTTGAGTTGAATTGATATTACTAATAAGAGATTAATCCAAGCTGCGAACGACCAGGTAGCAGACTTCCAAGCCAGCTTCTAAGATGAAATGATAGAGTTCATGATCATCATGGCACTTGTCATAACATTTTCCAAAGATGATACACTACGGTCGGCCACACAACTCAACTATCAAATTGGTAAGTTGATACCCCATTTATAGATGAAACATAGAGACTCCAAAATGTCAGATTTAAGGGTCATCCCACCAAGATTGACCCCTAATCATACGACAAATAAATATGTTAAGGGTGAGGGACATTTTGTATAACCAAAATGGCAAAAGCGCTCAATTGACCAACAATCTAATCTATTGAAACTTAGAGAGATGTGTTTCAACATTGGGCGGCTAACAAAAGCGGAAAGAGAGTGGTCAAATGCCGCTACCACATGCTTTCCCAAAGGCCATCCAAATCAACAAATGCACCAATCCAACTTCTCTACAAATCCACTCTTGGGTGGGACCAATGTTATGGGCTAACCCTAAACTTTTTTAAAAAAATATTGGTGGTAAATGCACTCCCCTAGACCCATCCAAGCCTAATAAATTGAGTAAGAAACATTGGTCATGCTCGGATCAAGGACGGATCATAACACAAAATAGACGTCGTCTCATCCTACATAACATTATATTGATGCTCAAATTCTAGGTCAGTATTTGACACAACCCATGAACTAACTCGAGTTACAGATCATAGAAACCCAAAATTTTATTAAATAACTATTTAATTTTATTGAATAAAAAAAAAAGGGGAAGAGAGAGAAATGACAAAGAAAACTTGGGTCTATAAATACACAAACTTTCCTCCCTTGAAGAGACAGACACATTGAGCAAAACAAATCCCATCTCCAAAATGGACGACATCGACATCCTCAAATCGACACTATCACCTTCCAACTCCATCGACATGTCGTCCACAATCCTCCTCAACAACAACAACAGCTCCCACTACCCTCCACTCCCCTTCTTCTCCGACTTCTCATCTCCCTCCTTCCACACCGCACAGCCAGTGCTGCCGAACCAACAGAACCGGCAGAAGCGCGGCGGCGGCGGGGGCGGGGGCGGGGGCGGGGGCGGGGGAATGGCAGCAATGAGAGAGATGATATTCCGAATAGCAGCAATGCAGCCAATACAAATAGACCCAGAGGAGATAAAGGCGCCAAAGCGGCGAAACGTGAGAATCTCGAAGGACCCACAGAGCGTGGCGGCGCGGCAGCGGAGGGAGAGAATCAGCCAGAAGATTAGGATTCTGCAGCGGCTGGTGCCTGGGGGAACTAAGATGGACACGGCGTCGATGCTGGATGAGGCGGTTCATTATGTGAAGTTCTTGAAGAGGCAAGTGCAAACGCTGGAGCAGGCAGGGTTTCACAATGCTAATACTACTAATAATAATAACAACTGTCCTAACCTTAGCTACTCTTCTGCGCTTTTCAAAGCTTGCCAAATGCCCCACGCTCCATCTATGCCTGGCTCTTTGCAAATGCATTGAACAAAATCAGATCTTTGATTTGGGTTTGTGATTTGTAAAGGAGTTGTACTTTATTTTGTTTTCAATTTCATGGAGTGTAGTTTAGTTGTTCAATATTAATGTAATATCAATCATTATTATTCACTCCCAATTTCCTTCTCATTACTTTTGTACTAAAAAAAAAAATTAAAAAAAAAATGAAGAATTAGGCCTTAATTGGACTTTTGTTTCCAACGAGTTGGGTTACTCGTGCATTGGTGCTAGGAATCACGGATCTACACAATGGTATGATATTGTCCACTTTGAGCTTAACATAAGCTCTCATGGCTTTGCTTTGGGTTTCCCCAAAAGGCCTCGTACCAGTGGAGATAGTATTCCTCACTTACAAACCCATGATGTTTGACTAAATTAACCCACGTGGGACTCACTCCTAATAATCCATAATCTTCCACTAAATTAACCCATGTGGGACTCACTCCCAATAATCCTCAACAGTAGGCATGTCTCGTCACTCCATTAGCTCGAGGAAGATGTTTGGAATCACGGATCTCCACAATGGTATGATATTGTCTACTTTGAGCATAAGCTCTCGTGACTTTGTTTTGAGCTTCCCCAAAAGGCAACATACAAATGAAGATAGCTCATGATCTTCCACTAAATTAATCAACGTGTGACTCACTCCCAATAATTCTCAACAGAAGATTTGTTGCTTGACTAAAGTCCATCGTGATTGGAAAGAGAGTTGTTGTATCAACGAGGCCATTGCTTATGGTTCACTATTGTTGAAGGAGTAAACCATTGCTCGCTGCCTAGTTCAACATTGTACAAGAAATAACACTTTCTTTCCCTACAAATAGCGTTGATGAATAAAGAGAATAGATTTGATACGCACGTGAATCAATACCAACGTGACACTAGTCACATCAACTCTATACTCCGAGTTAAAGAGAAGATTAAGAGATAATGATATTTTGATAGATTAAAATAATAAGAGATTAAAAGAACAATAATGGAATGGTTGGAGTAGGTTGCTCCCAAGAGAGAGGGAAAGGGTTAAAAGTGTTGATGTCTCATGAATCATGCCTCCCTAACAACCATATTCTTCACAGCTCCTCCAAAGTCAACCTGAATAATAGTCAAACTACAACTCCATAAAATTATATTATATATTTAATTTATTAAAAAGAAAAGGGAATAAATAGAGGATAGATCTGAAGTGCATTGAATGGAGGAGATAAAATAATATTATAATGATTTTATGAGCTTAGCTCCTAAATGCAATGAATTTCAACATCTTCTTATCCATTCTCTTTCCCTTTGTCTTTCCCTTTTCGTGGGATAACCCTTTCTTCTATTATATATTATTATTATATCATATCTACATGCATGCATTCAATAAAGCTATTATATAACCAAATAATAACTCTTTTATTTCAAATATTATAACTTTAATTCTTATGTATGTTGATTTATGTATCTTGATTTTCCTTTTTCCTAATCCAATCATTATCGCCATATAGTTTATACGATTTAATACTAAAAAGTATATTTTAACAATACTATCGACTACTAGTATATTAAGACACGTTCCTGTAACGGTATGATTAGGATATGTTCATGAAACGATATGGTTGGGATGCGTTTTTGTAGTGGTAAGACTAGGATATGTTCATGACATGATATGGTTTAGGATACGTTGCGAAACGATATGACTAAGGATATGCATATGGAAATGATATGAGTATGAGGATATGGTCATGATAGATTGATAAAACGGTTCGATAAGGGTTATGATAAATTGATAACACGATATGATAAGGTTATGTATAGAAAAAAACGTTATGGTCATGATAGACTGATAAGACAATACGATAATGTTATGTATAGAAAATGTTATGGTTATGATAAATTGATAAAATGATATGATTAGGTTATGTATATAAAAGTGTTATGGTTATGATAGATTGATAAAACGATACGACAAGGTTATGTATCACGAAGGATGTGATTGTGATGGATGAAACAATATGGTTAGGCTAAGTTTAGGAAACGATACGACTACGGTACGTTCATGAAACGATATGACTGTGATATGTGTAAGAACGTTAAGGCTATGATAAGTTAGGGAACGATATGACCATAAAGTGTTTACGAAATGATACGGATTATGATAGGATATGAGAATGACGAATGTATATATAAACATGCAGTAAAATGGTATGAGGTTGATATGATATAGATATGGTAGGAAATATGTGATTATTGATATGTTTATGATATGACATAATGTGAACCGATATGTTAGGAATATGTTATGTGATTGTTATGATATACTATATGATATGATACGTGCATGTTGAGAATTGTTATGTTTGAAAGTATGAAAACATTATGATATGATATATGTGCGACATAAATGATATGATATGTTTGACATGCAAAACAACGAACTAGCATGAAATATAACCTCGACGTATGCATGAAAGATATGATAAATGATATGAGAAACTGTATGAAAAACGATATGATATGTACGAAACGCTAGCGGGATTGTACTAAATGATAATGCAAATAGAAAAATGTTGAGACCTCATGCATTATTATATGCTTATGCATGGGGGATACCCCTTATCCTTCACGATAGCTTTACATAGCAAAACGTAGCATGACATTCATAGTGTTTCATTTTATTCATATCGTGACATAATGGATATCACATAAATACATAACATAGCATCATACGTCATTACATAGTACAGGTAAACATAGCATAATATTATGGCGCATGCAGGGGCCACAGGGCATGCATTGTCATACATCATTTAATTTTTCGAACTCTAACGATAAGATCACTTACTTGATTAGTTTAAACTGGTGTCAAAACATTTGTTTGGTTAGATTGGATTGAATTTATTATTTAATAAACGTTGTTGTTCCGACCCGATCCAATCGAATCGAGGAACATCCATATCAATTTATGGGTTAAACTTATAATAAAACATAAAATAATTGATTGAAATATGCATAGCATATAAATAAATAAATATATAGACAGCCCAAACACCCCGTTATGGGACAAACGTAGGGTTTTCATGGGAGGAGTTGCAATAGGCAGTTGAAGCAAGCGGCAGTAGAATTTCGGTCGGTGATTGGTTGATTGGGGGATATTGTCAGAAATGCCCATTACTGGAGGACACGTGGACGGCTGTGATTAGAATTGGCCTTCATTGTCCCTTGTGCTAGGGGAGATGAACTGAAATGTAATACTATTAAGACAACACCAATCAGCTCTGCCTCCTACCCCCCAACTTAGCAATTCCATTCAAATATTCAATTTATATTTTAATATCTTCATAATAAAATCATATGCCCATCTTCACTATAATCAATTTTCTACGTTTATTTTATCATTTCATTTTTATAAGTTAATAAATAAATCAAATCGAACGGTGGTTTAGTGTTAAAATCGCACAACAACGCACACTCGATCTATATGAACATAAACAATAATGCAAACAGAAATATTGGCTAAAGATTTTGTACCGAAAAGAAAGAAGAAGAACCCATATTGAAATATATGATTTCAGTTTACTACATATAAATGTTACCTCATGAAATCTTTTTTATTGGGTTGCAATCAATTTTTTGGGCTTATTTAAATTGGATCAAAATATGATATGATCCAATTTGACCGGTTTAAATTTATTTGATCAACGGGTAGCCTGTGTTATAAGGAGAAAGAGATGAATATAAAAATACTGCTCTTATTGCATCTTCACCTAATAAGTTCACCAACCATTTATCCTGATTGTTGCCATATATGACAGTGATACTTATCATGAGCTAAAACTGGGGTTTATTTTACACTCCATAGTAGTTTTTCGTGTTATCTACTTACGTAGTCTATCGTCCCCTCTTAAAGTGGGTTTATTCTATACACTAGTAGTTTCTTATGTTATGTACTTATATAGTCTCTCGTCACCTTTTAATATAAGTGGGCAATAAACTTAGCTTTCATGCAATTCTTGTGGTAGATTGCATCTGAGACATTCAATCCAGCTTTGATCAAGTTCAATTGTAGGGCGACTCAATATAGAACAAGATTCCAAATCTTGTTCTAGATCTTTGATCTTAAGAAGTAATTTAATTGTAGTCTTATTTTAGGTTGATTCGAATTTTGTATGAGGAAGTGTTAATTTCTTTAATTCAAGGTTCAGCTTTAATAAAAGCTTCGATCATTGAGCTGAAGATTAGGGTTGTCTTATCAATCTCATTTGGCATTTCTAAAATGCTTGAGGGTAGCGTCTTAGGGTTAATCCAATCTCTAGGTGCACTCAGGTCAAGACTTATGATCACTGCTCGTGGTGCTAGGGAGCTCATTCCACTAGAAACAGACTGATCTAAGTCAATGTGAAAACCATCCTAACTTTGGCACTCAAATTCTTAATTTAGTTCGCACGATATTCCTATTAATCACCTTAAGCATGAGGAACATAGTCAACTTATTTATGTATACTTATTAGGGAGATATTCTTATCAATCACCATAAGAACGAAAATCATAATCTAAGCATTCAAGATAACTTAATAACGTGCTTAAATCCCTTAGAGCACAGATCAGAATATCTCATCTCCATTCTAATAGAGTCGAAGACATTAAAATAGGTCATTTCGGTAAATTTTCATAACATACAAAATATCCTCATCTAATTTTTTTCTTTTGGAGTCCTATCATGCATACTCTAACTACCTAAGGCAAGATATGCTCACCTGCTAGCACATCCCAGCGATCTCTACAAGTATTACTTAAAAAATGTCCATGTGTCGTAAACAACATACTTGCTAGTTCTAGATGACTCGAGTTGGGTGTAGACAGTCTGGGTTCTGGGTTGGTGGTTTGGATCAGGCTAGGAGTTCTTGGGTCGTGCCTTTTTTGGCATGCGTTCGAGCCTAGTTATTACCAATCTAATTCCAATTCTTCGTTTGGCGACACGGGTCTATGCTAATCAATGCCTGACACAC